GTGGGAAGGAATTACTAGATCCGCTTCAGGACCGTAAAAACGATGCCTACAAATGGATTCTTCATCACGCCAAAAGGTTCAGATTAGCCGATGGAATCATGGTAAATAGCTTCAAGGACTTGGAAGCAGGGGCGATAGGAGCCCTGAAAGAACAGGGTAAACTGGTTTACCCGATTGGACCGCTCGTGATCAAGGATCCAAGTCCCATAGAGGATGAGGCGGGGTGTCTGATGTGGCTTGATGGTCAGCCACATGGCTCCGTTTTATTTGTGTCGATCGGAAGCGGTTGGACCCAATCTTATGAACAGATCATTGAGTTGGCTCTGGGACTGGAGTTGAGTGCGCAGAGATTTTTGTGGTTCGTGACCAGGTCCTTCAGCGAGAACAGTCAACGGGGCCCTTTCGATTTTCTTCCGGATGGCTTTTTGGAGCGGACAGAAGGGCGGGGCTTAGTGGTGTTGGGGACGCCGTCATGGGCCACACAGGCCCGAATCCTCAGCCACGGCTCCACCGGCGGTTTTTTCATGGATTGCGGCTGGAATTCAACCCTGGAGAGCATCGTGAACGGAGTGCCCCTAATCGTTTGGCCGCTCTACGCCGAGCAGAAGATGAACGCCCTGATGTTAACGGAGGACATAAAGGTTGCACTTAACCCAAAAGCCAACGAAAACGGGCTTGTACGCCGAGATGAGATAGCCAGCGCAGTGAAAGGTTTGATGGAAGGTGAAGAAGGGCGGAGGGTTCGTTATAGAATGAAGGACATGAAGGAGGCTGCCGCAAAAGTACTGAGCCAGGACGGCTCTTCCACCAAGGCGCTGGCTGAGGTTGTTCACAAGTGGCAAAATTATTTGAATCTGCGCCTGTGATTTTCCTGAAGTCATGTTCTGCATTGCTTTTGTCTTTCTTGGTATATGGTAAGGAATAAAGTCCACGTTAATATGGACTACAGTTAAATTTTAACGCTCACAGCATGTGGTATTAGGGTTCATCGAGCCTAGATCGATTCTCAATGCTGGAGAAAAGGTACTGTAATAGGAAAAGTATTCATGTTTTTTTTTTTTTTTTTTCATTTGGTTGCAAAAAGTATTTATGTTTGACTATGATAGTTTTTGTAAATGGGTTTGCAGTATTAATAAAATATTTTCTTTACCGATAAAAAAATATTAACATCTATATTAGTGATGTTGGAATGTTAGGTTTATTATTTTATTATTATTATTTAAACATAAAAAATTAAAAAAAAAAGGTAAATATAAGTAGAAGATGTGAGATTTGAATCCCACATTGTAAAATATAAAAAAAAATTTATAACAAAATAAATGATCATTAAGACTTAAATTAAAATGTTAGATTTTGATAAACAATCTAAAAAAAAAAATTTGTTATTATTTTTAGTTTCTCTTTGGCGTAACTCTCTAAACCAACTCTAACTAATAATCTTAGAGACTTTTTACCCCTCTACCTCATAATATACGGTTTTTAACCTCTCAAATCACCCCTCAGTTGGCCTATGTGCATTTATCTCCACCTCGGCCAAAAAATGCGTAAACAAATTGTGCTGCCACGTGAATGGCCTCTGTCTAAACCTGATTTTTCTTCTTATTAAGCTTACCTTAAGAGGTATACAATTTTGACTTTTGTCCAAGATTTTTTGTGATTTAAATTCAAACTTGGCCTCGGCTTTTATTATATGTCTATTCCAACTTCTAAGCCATTGGCTTTAATTTTAAGCAAGAGAAGCAAGAAAT